AATGGCTTGTTGTCCTGAGCTGCTTCTGGGTAATAGGATGTCTTAAGAACAGTCAGGCTCCAGGCCGGGTGCGGTGGCTCAAGCCTGTAATCCCAGCACTTTGGGAGGCCGAGGCGGGTGGATCACAAGGTCGAGAGATCGAGACCATCCTGGTCAACATGGTGAAACCCCGTCTCTACTAAAAATACAAAAAATTAGCTGGGCATGGTGGCGCGTGCCTGTAATCCCAGCTACTCAGGAGGCTGAGGCGGGAGAATTGCCTGAACCCAGGAGGCGGAGGTTGCGGTGAGCCGAGATCGCGCCATTGCACTCCAGCCTGGGTAACAAGAGCGAAACTCCGTCTCAAAAAAAAAAAAAAAAAAAGAACAGTCAGGCTCCAAACTAAGCACTATACTCAAAGCACGTCAGTCATGCTACAGGACACGGACATAGACTTAATTCTGATAGAGCTGGAATATTGCCCCTTAATAAAACCTTACCTTTAGAAAGTGAGTGGGGGATGGAATCGGCTTGTCATCAGGTGAAGTGATTAAATGTCCTCAGGCATCTGATCCTTTAATCTCTCAACTGATCAATTTGTTTGTCTTGAAAGTGTAGCCTGGGCAGGAGGACAGGAGAACAGACCTATCTTCAGGAGAGCGAGGCCTCCTGGAGTGTTCCTTCTTTCATGCCATGCTTTAAGAGCTCTGTAGAATTGCAGCTCTGTGTGGCCACTCAGAGGTAAATGCTGAAGAATTACCATGAATCTGAGTTGAAGTCCATAGTAAACATGGCCAAGTACTGTGAATTGTTGGCCCATTAGTTTTCATCAGATGTGGGAATCTTCCGCCTCGCCCTCACCCCCCCCCCCGCCCCCCCCACCCCACCCTCCTCCTGCAAAATTCACCATAAGAAACTATGTAAACTTTGCTAAGTCTGGGCGTGGCTACAGGGTTTGTTTCACATTGAAACAAAAAGAGGCACCAATTCTTGCAGAATCCCAAAACAAACGTGACCTGGAACAAATCCACTACCCGTATGAATATGTAAGCGGCCTGACACACATTTTTTAAATAATATCCGGCTGCTCCGTTTTGCTGTTTCAGATTCTTTTTGCATTCTTTTTAGATTCTTTGTGTCAGTGTGTAATAATTCAGTATGCCATTACATTGTCCTTAATTAATCTCCAAAGTGTGTTTGTGTTATGAGGTGCCTTAAGAAATGAGGGGATTTTTTTCTAATACTGTATAAATGTTGCAATTTTTCTCTATGCCAAGGTGGACAACAACACAGCGCTGGTTGACAAATTGAAGCGATTCCAGCAGGAGAATGAAGAATTAAAAGCTCGCATGGACAAGCACATGGCCATTTCTAGGTAAGAATAAAGCAGCGCTGTTTCTCCTGAGCTCCCCACTCCCTAGCACATCCAGTGTTACTTTCTGGCCAGGCTCTACCCGTGTACCTCCTGGAAACAGGAGGGAAGCAGATGGTTAAAGGGGCACTGATTTCTGTCTGGAAAATGTGATTGTAGTAGTTCATGTGTTTACCAAAGTGGCCTGGACTGAATATCAAGACCCAGGCCAGCAAGCCTTCTCCCCGGCCTCTGGCTCCTTCTGAGAATGCTTTCAGACACAAAGCAACACAAAACCAAATAGAAAGCAGCCCCAAACGTAACATAGTCATAAAACATGCCGCATATTTGCGAAAGTGGCACTCTGCCTCCTATGAAATTGCCCCCAAAAAGTACAATTTTTTTTTTTTTTATATGAGGTCTCTGTTGTTCCCGCTGGAGTGCAGTGCTGCGATCTTAGCTTACTGCAACGTCTGCCTCCTGGGCTCAAGCAATCCTTCCACCTCAGCCTCCTGCGTACCTGGGACTACAGGCACATGTCACCATGCCTGGCTAATTTTTGTGTTTATAACAGAGACAGAGTTTCACCATGTTGCCCAAGTTGGTCTCAAAATTCTGGCCTGATGTTACGCATCCACCTCCCAAAGTTCCAGGATTACAGGCACGAGCCACCACGCCCGGCCTGCATGTCGGGTTTCCTAGGCAGCCAAATACCTGTGACTTTGTACAGGATTCTGTTTTGTCCCAAAGGAATAAATTGGGACTTTCAGATTTCAAATGCTAAGACACTTTTTTCAAGTAATTTTTCACATAGATGTACCTGGTTTCTGGCTTTTGTTCTTCAAGGCAACTTTCCACGGAGCAGGCGGTTCTGCAAGAGTCGCTGGAGAAGGAGTCGAAAGTCAACAAGCGACTCTCCATGGAAAATGAGGAGCTTCTGTGGAAGCTGCACAATGGGGACCTGTGTAGCCCCAAGAGATCCCCCACGTCCTCAGCCATCCCTTTCCAGTCACCACGGAATTCTGGCTCTTTCTCCAGCCCCAGCATTTCACCCAGATGACACCTCCTTAAAGTCAACAGACTCTCTGAAAGCATTTTGATACAGGTCTGCAGGACTGACCCCAGTGAGGAACGTGGGCACAGAGCTCTATCAGCGCACGTGTGATCACCATAGGGTAACTGGAGCCATCACCGCCGCCGAAATCAGCAGCTTCTGAGACTGGAACTCTGGAGGAAGACTTTTGCCTCAGTCCAAAAGATTCCTCCACACCCAGATTTCGGCACCGACACACGGACGTTGTTGCACAAAGCACTTAAAGAACGAGAGAATCTTGTTCATTGCCTTTTTCACCTAAGCATAGGGGGAAAACTCTCAGGGGCCTATTCAGATGAAGATTTCTAACCTTTGTAACGTTCTTCACCAGACACCTTTGTGAGTTTTTAGTCTGACTGTGGGGGTGGGGGTGTATGAATGAAATGGATGTCATTGTGTCATGTGTCTGATGCAGCCTTCTTTGCTGTGTATTCAATGTCAAAATCTGAATATATCTGGATATGCACTAATCAAATAGTCACTGTATACATTTCAGCCAAAGCCATAGAAGAAAAAGCAATAGTTGCCTGCATTATGATCATCTACCGCCAACTCTGCTCAGCCCTGTAACGTGGTAGGGAAAGTGTATAACAGGAAGAGCTTCGACTTGTCACTGTACATTCGCTGTATCTTTTTGGGGTAACTTCTTGGCAGTTTCGGTGTTCAGCCATGTCAGTTGAAACTAGGTAGATTTTTCTGTAGATTTTGTACTTAACCACGGGAGCCTAACACTGTCCTGTAATCCATTTTCTCAGGCTATATGTAAACGTAGAACCCTAGTTTTTCTATTAAAAAACTGTATAAAGAAAAAGGGCAGTACCAATGGGTTTTTCTGCCTTATTTTTACCTTGCTCTGAGCTGTCCTTGCAGATTTAACCTGTATTCTTCTCTCCCATTATTCCCATTTTCCTTTTACCTTTCTCCACCATCCAGAGCCACGAAAGCAAACCACCTACCTCCTACCTCCTTTTCTCTGGGACGAGGATAAAGGAATACGCTTGTCCAGAGCTAGCTCATCTTCCAGGTGCTCAAATCACTTTCCAAATAAACTGAAGCCTGATTTGATACTACAAATGTTGTTGGGAAATCTTAGAATAAAGAACAAGAAAGAGGAAGTCATTGGCTAGGAGAATTAAGAAAGGTAGGATTCCGTGCTTACCGATGACTAGAAGCACGCTGATTAAACTGATGTCGCAGCATTTGATAGAAGAAACGGTCTGAGGATCATGCTCATTTTTCAGGGACCCTCTGAAGAGTCCCTGTGTTTGGGAAGGTAGCAAAATGGCCAACAGATGAGTGGAAAATGTGGCTTGTCCAGCTCTCCTCCAAGTTGCATTTCAGTTTCTTTCCAAAACTTACTCGCTCCCCTGATTTTGAGACTTTGGAAAAGGTGGAAGGAAGACTTGTGGCTTTATATCCCCCTCCCTGCATGTGTCCACACTGTGATGTCAGTATTTACTAATCTACATTCAGTGGCTGTACAAATAACCGCTGTAGTAAGAAGATTCAGGATACTAGAGGTGGATTTTTGAGTCATTTACATGTATACTACATAGCAAGTTGATACCATGATGCATGTTCTTTTAAATTAGTGATTGTGTGTCTTAAGTCTTTAACTTCCAATAGTTTATCATGTATGTAATACCTTCCATGTTTGCTTCTGATAAATGGAAATGTTGATTCACTGTCACTTCCTGGGACATCTCTGCTCACGCTTCCAAGTTGTTCTCAATGACATTAGCCAAAGGTGGGTTTGCCATTCGTCCCTTACGCATGGTAAATCTTGTGTTGTTCCCTGCTTGTCCTCCGTACTATGTGACTGGGAAATAAATCTTACAGCAGTTAATAAAAAAAAAAGTCTTCGGAGGATGGGAGAGAACAGAAGAAAAGATAGGAAACAAAATGGAGAATTTTTGAGATTTTGTTTAAACCAAATGTTTTATGTAGGATGTAACATGTTGGCACGTCAAAAATACGGATGTGTAGACAACTGTAGTTGTGCTCAGTTTGTAGTGATGGAAAGTGTATTTTACTTTGATCAAATAAATAATGCTGGAATACTCAAAAATTGCATCCTGACATACCTCACTCTTCAAAGTGTTACCAAGCGCACGGCCTTTTTAACACCACAGGAAAGATGACGTCTCTTCTTAGTTTATTTTCCAGGAATTTCCACTACAACCACAGAAGAGGTCATGGCCTGAAACTTGGCTCACAGAGCTACAGGTAGAGCTTAGCTTTTCTTTTCTAAATTCAAAGCTGTGTTTGAGACATAAATTTGGCGGGTTTTAACAATTTCTGCTGTATAAGAAAATTGGAGAAACCTGGTAAATATTTTTAAATATGATAAAAAACTCTAAACAAAGCTGAATGTTCTTAATCTATGCATCTATTTTATATTGAAAGCTAAACTTCTAAAAACAGGTTCCATTGAATAGACTAGAATTAGTACCCTTGAGTGCAGCAGTTTAAGAAAAAGAAAAATGCATACATGATTTTTTTCAATACTTTGATCAATTATCTCACATTTGCTTTAAAGTTGCTACTAAGACAAAAATGACATTTCTAAACATTTGAATCTGGAGTTGCTGTTTATGGATAAGTAGTCAAACTATCTAGTACATTTTTAAATTCTACTGTATTGTGGTAGTTATGTGACAGAGAATACTTGGCATTGACCCAGGTATCCCCACCACCACCAAGTCTTTCTAGATATATTTTAGGCCAACTTAAACACTTAGCTCACAATTTTTTTTTTTTTTTTTTTTTTACAAAAACTTGCTCATTTAATAGAAATGATTATATAAAATTGTTTACACATATAAACTAGGAACACATGTAGGTAAGCAATCAAAATGCATGCTTTCTGTTAGAAACGTTAACACTTCTGTGACTAGACTGGATGACTTCCTTTTAGTTTGGATGTCTGGGTCGGGCTCACAGGACGTTGGGGTTGGGGTTTGGTGCTTCACATCACTCTCTGGCAAAGCACTAATCAAAAGAACCCCAAAGCCAATAGTCTACACAAACGGGCTTTCCGTAAGTTCATGACATTTCCTTTTCCAACTCAGGAAAACTCAACAGTGGTAGCTACTGTGGTCTGTCCTTGAAGATTCTGAGCAGTGCAAATGTAATATCCTGCATCAATGGTCTCAAAGTCTTCCACTGTAATGACACTCTGGGAGATTCTGGTGGTGTGTCCCAGTCCTCTGTGGATCAGCCTCCAAGTGTCTTGGATCGTCACAGGCCTTTCATCCTGTTTAATGACACCCACAGAGACTGAAGCACGAGGGTCAAACAGCTCCCATTCACCCAACACTGTTGAGGGTTCCTTTCAAAGGGCCAAAGCACATGCTTACAAATAACTGTTTAGTATGCATAGCTCATAAACTCTGGAAGCTTTTCTACACTGAAATCATTTTAGGCAAACAGAGCCTTGAATTTCATTATGTTGTTTGGTGCTGTCTTTCTGCCCTTTTCTTCCCTAAGTTTCTACTTAAGCTAAACTTTATGCTTTTAAAACTCCAAGAAAGTGGAACTGGTATTAAGCATCAACAGGGACAAAATTTTCCACTGGCCACGCTTTTCACATTGCCCACTTTGTTCCTAGCTAAGTAGTTCTTATTTACGGAACTGCAAGTCAGAAGCCTGAAACATACCCACTGTGAAAGCTCCCAATTGCTCAGATTTGGAAAAGGGAGAAGTATGATTATGCTAACATCCCCTAGGACTCCAATGGGAGAAAAGTTGTACCAGGGATGGGTAAGATAATGTACTAGATGACATGATCCCTATTTCTAGAACGTGAGATGGTCACTTTTGAGATGTCCAGCCAACTCTGGTAATGAGAACGTAGTATTTTCTGAATTAATTTAACAGAACGAATATATTACTAAGTGAATACCTTTTCTTATAAAATACCACATAGCAATGTAGGAAAAAAAAAAAAAAACACCCCTATTGAAAATCATCAATGTCCTGTAAGTATGACCAACACTTTTGATAATCAAGCACCTAATACCAAGATGCTGGAAAACACTATTCCCTAGAGACAGTTATTTTCCACCAATCACAGCTCGTAAGCCAGACGGATGTCAGCTACTGAATGTGTCTTGGAGAGGCTAAATCTCTTCTGGCAACAAAGGGATGATTCCATGCTGGTAGCGAAGCTGTTACTTTAGCAAGCAGAACATGCACAAGGGCTAAATATGCTGCAATTGTTTTTATGAGAAGTCTATTTTAAAATGATCTCTGGCCTCACAGCACCTTTTTGGCAGGGTCAGTTTCTTTCTTTTTTTTTTTGAGACGGATTTTCGCTCTTGTTACCCAGGCTGGAGTGCAATGGCGTGATCTCAGCTCACTGCAACCTCCGCCTCCTGGGTTCAGGCAATTCTCCTGCCTCAGCCTCCCGAGTAGCTGGGATTACAGGCACGCGCCACCATGCCCAGCTGATTTTTTATATTTTTAGTAGAGGCGGGGTTTCACCATGTTGACCAGGATGGTCTCGATCTCTCGACCTCGTGATCCACCCGCCTCGGCCTCCCAAAGAGCTGGGATTACAGGCTTGAGCCACCGCGCCCGGCCGGCAGTGTCAGTTTCTCTGCCCACTTGGTGGATGCCTGCTCAGAGCCGCCTGCCGTGGGCATGGCTTGTTTAGAGAACACTCCAGCCAAGTGAAACGCAGGAAGGAAGCAGCAGAAAGAGCCCTGTGGGCACACTCGGTCCCCAGGGAAGCCACTTCCGACTTTGTCTCACAGAGGTCCTTGGGGAGGGCTACCAGAGAAACTGGGAAAAAACCACAGGGAGAAGAAAACGAGCTGAACTCTGTAAAAATGTTGACTGAACAGTTTCCTGTACAGAACTCAGGTGAGGGGATGAAGCGGGAGTGCAGACACAACGCAGAAACCATGGCATGTAGGGAGATGTGAAACCTCAAAGCCCTGTCTGCTTTATTGGCCAGGAGGCTGGCAGCCAGGGGCAAATTCTCAACCCTACTCACCCAATGCCTAGAAACAAAACTCAGTGCAGTGGGTAGGGACAGAGGGAGTGAGACCATCCATTTGGGCTACACAGGACCTGGGGAGGCCTCTAACTGCTGGCTTTCCCCCACTTCCCTAGTGACCTGCCATAATCAGAGCAGAGCAGCCATAATCCCCTGGGGAACATAACTCTATTGGCCTGAACACCACACCCCCATCCCCAACAACAGCCATGGTGACCTACCCAAGGAGAGTCTGAGCTCAGACATGCTTAGCCCCGCCCCCACCTAATGGTCTTTCTCTACCTACCCTGGTAGCTGAAGACAAAGGACATAATCTGTGGGAGCTCTAGGGTCGACTACCACAACTGATGCTGTCTTTAAAGTGTCACCTCCTGGCAGGAGACCAACCAACACAGAACTAGTGCAATAAACAAAACTATAACTAAGGACCCTCACAGAGTCCATTTCACTCCCCTGCCACCAACATCAAAGTAGGTGCTGATACCCATGGCTGAGAGACCTGAGACACCACAGGACTCTGTAGGCACCACTCGGTACCAGCCTGGAGCCCAATAACTCTGCTGGGTGCCTAGATACAGAAGAGAAATAACAATCACTGCAGTTTGGCTCTCAGAAAGCCACACACATAAAAAGGGAAGACCACTACATCAAGAGCACCCCATGGAACAAAAGAGTCTGAACAGCAGCCCTTGAGCCCAGAGCTTCCCTCTAACACAGTCTATCCAAATGAGAAGAAACCAGAAAAACAATTCTGGTAATATGTCAAAACAAGGTTCTTTAACACCCACGAAAGATCACAGTAGCTCACCAGCAACTGATCCAAACCAGAAGAAATCCCTGAATTGCCAGAAAAAGAATTCAGAAGGTCAGTTATTAAGCTAGTCAAGGAGACATCAGAGAAAGATTAACTCCAACTTAATTAAATAAAAAAAAAAGACAAGATGAAGGGAAAAATCTTCAGAGAAATAGCAAAAATAGAAAACAATCTCAATTGCTGGAAATGAAGGACACACTTAGAGAAATGCAAAATACACTGGAAAGTCTCAGCAATAGAACTGAACAAGCAGAAAAAAGAACTTCAGAGCTCAAATGTAAGATTTTTGAATTTACCCAATCAAACAAAGACAAAGAAGAATTTACAAGACCGAACAAAGCCTCTAAGAAGTTTAGGATCATATTAAACAACCAAACCTAAGAATAATTGGTGTTCCTGAGGAAGACGAGAAATCTAAAAGTTTGGAAAACATATTTGAGGGAATAATCAAGGAAAACTTCCCCCACCTTGCTAGAGAGCTAGACATCCAAATACAAAAAGCTCAAAGAACACCTGGGAAATTGATCACAAAAAGATCATCACCTAGGCACACAGTGATCAGGTTATCTAAAGTCAAGATGAAGGTAAGACAATCTTAAGAGCTGAGGCAAAAGCACCAGGTAACCAAAAAGGAAAACGTATCAGATTAACAGCATATTCCTCAGCAGAAACCCTACAGGCTAGAAGAAACTGAGGCCCTATATTCAGCCTCCTTAATCAAAACAATTATCAGCCAAGAATTTTGTGTCCAGTGAAACTAAGCTTCATAAATGAAGGAAAGAGACAGTCTTTTTAAGACAAACAAATGCTGAGAGAATTCACCAGTACCAATGCAGCACTACAAGAAATGCTAAAAGGAGCTCTAAATCTTGAAACAAATCCTTGAGATACACCAAAATAGAACCCCCTTAAAGCATAAATCTCACAGGACCTATAAAACAAAAACAAAATAAATTTAAAAATAAAAACCAAGGTATTCAGGCAACAAATAACATGATGAATAGAATAGTACCTCACACCTCAATACTAACACTGAATATAAATACGCTAAATACTCCACTTAAAAGATATAGAATGGCAGAATGGATATGAAGTCACCAATCAAGTATCTGCTGTTTTCAGGAGACTCACCTAAAACATAAGACTCAAAAACTTAAGGTAAAGCAATGGAAAAAGATACTCCATACAAAGGCACACCAAAAACGAGCAGGACTAGCTTTTCTTTTTCTTTTTTCTTTTTTGAGACAGAGCCTCACTCTGTTGCCCACGCTGGAATGCAATGGCGTGATCTCAGTTCACTGCAACACGTTCAAGCAATTCTCGTGCCTCAGCCTCCTGAGTAGCTGGGTTTTCAGGCACAAGCCTGCCTTTTTTTTTTTTTTTTTTTTTTTTTTTTTTTTTTTTTTGAGATGGAGTTTTGTTCTTGTTACCCAGGCTGGAGTGCAATGGCGCGATCTCAGCTCACCGCAACCTCCGCCTCCTGGGTTCAGGCAATTCTCCTGCCTCAGCCTCCTGAGTAGCTGGGATTGCAGGCATGTGCCACCATGCCCGGCTAATTTTTTGTATTTTTAGTAGAGACGGGGTTTCACCATGTTGACCAGGATGGTCTCGATCTCTTGACCTCGTGATCCGCATGCCTCAGCCTCCCAAAGTGCTGGGATTACAGGCTTGAGCCACTGCACCCGGCTACAAGCCTGTCTTACATAAGAGTAGCTATTCTTATATAAGACATAACAAACTTTAAAGAAACAGCAGTTTAAAAAGACAAAGAGGAACATTATATGATTTTAAAAGGACTTGTCCAACAGGAAAACATCACAATGCTATTTATATATATGCACCTAACACAGACGCTCCCAAATTTATAAAGCAATTACTACTAGACTAAGAAATGAGATAGACTGCCACACAATAATAGTGGGGGACTTTAATACTCCACTGTCAGCACTGAACAGGTGATCAAGACAGAACGTTGAGAAAGAAAGAATGGATTTAAACTATAACCTAGAACAAATGGACTTAACAGCTATTTATAGAACATTCTACCCGACAACTGCAGAATATACATTCTATTCATCAGGACATGGAACATTCTCCCAGACAGACCAGATAATAGGCCACAAAACAAGTCTCAATAAATTTAAGAAAAGTGAAATTGTATCAAGTACTCTCTCAGACCACAGTGGAAAAAAACCTGAAAATTCCAAAAGGAACCCTCAACACGTACAAATGCATGGAAATTAAATAACCTGCTCCTGAATGATCACTGGGCCAACAATGAAATCACGATGGGAGTTTAAAAATTCTTTGAATATTCCTGTATTCCCAGCACTTTGGGAGGCCAAGGCGGGTGGATCACTTGAGGTCAGGAGTTCAAGACCAGCCTGACCAACATTGTGAAACCTACCGTCTCTACTAAAAAATACAAAAATTAGCCAGCCAAGGTGGCTGGCATCTGTAATCCCAACTACTCAGGAGGCTGAGGCAGTAGAATCACTTGAACCCAGGAGGCAAAAGTTGCAGTAAGCTGAGATGCAACACTGCACTCCAGCCTGAGCAACAGAGCAAGACTCTGTCTCAAAAAAAAAAAATTCTTTGAACAGAATGATAATAGTAACAGAATCTATCAAAACTTCTGGGATACAGCAAAGGTAGTGCTAAGAGGAAAGTTCATAGCATCAAATGACTATATCAAAAAGCCTGAAACAGCAGAAATAGACAATTTAAAGCACACCTCAAGGACTAGAAAAACCAGTACAAACCAAATTCAAACATAGCAGAAGAAAAGAGACAAAGATCAGAACAGAACTGAATGAGAAGATAAAAGAAACAAAAAGCTGGTCCTTTGAAAAAATAAATAAAACTGATAGACCATTAGTGAAATTAACCAAGAAGATCCAAATAAGCTCAATTAGAAATGAAACAGGAGACATTAACAACCAGTATTACAGAAATACAAAAGATCATTCAAAACTACTATGAATACCTTTACACACACAAGCCGGAAAACCTAGAGGAGATGGATAAATTCCTGGAAATATACAACCCTCCTAGATTAAACCAGGAAGAAATAGAAACTCTGAACAGACCAATAACAACCAGTGAGATTGACATGGAAATTAAAAAAAAATTGCCAATAAAAGTAAGTCCAGGACCAGATGGATTCACAATTGAAATCTATGAGACATTCAAAGAAGAACTGGTATCAATCCTATTGACATTGTTTCACAAGAGAGATAAAGAGGGAATCCTTCCTAAATCATTCGGTGAGGCCAGTATCACCCTAATATCTAGACCAGAAAAGGACATAACAAAGAAAGAGAAAACGACGTAACAAAGAAAGAGAAAACTACAGACCAACATTTCTGATGAATGTAGGTACAAAATCCTTAACAAAATACCAGCTAATCAAATCCAACAGTATATCAAAGAGAGAATCCACCACGATCAAATGGGTTTCATACCAGGGTGGTTTAACATACACAAGTCATTAATGTGATATACCACATAAACAGAATTAAAAACAAAAATCACATGATCATTTCAACAGTCACAGAAAAAGCATTTGATAAAATCCAGCATCCCTTTATGATTAAAACCCTCAGCAAAATCAGCATAGAAGGGACATACCTTAAGGTAATAAAAATAGTCCATGACAAACCCACAGCTGACATTACACTGACTGAGGAAAAGTTGGAAGCATTCCCTCTGAGAACTGGAACCAGACAAGGATGCCCACTTTCACCACTTTTAGTCAACATAGTACTGGAAGTCCTAGCCAGAGCAATCAGACAAGAGAAACAAATAAAGGGCATCCAAATCAATAAACAGGAAGTCAAACTGTCACTGTTTGCCGATATGATCATATACCTAAAAAACCCTAAAGACTCCTCCAAAAAGCTGCTAGAACTGATAAATAAATAAATTCAGCAAAGTTTCAGGATACAAAATTAATGTATACACATCAGTAGCTCTGTTATACACCAACAGCAACCAAGCCAAAAATCAAATCAATAACTCCTTTTATAATGGCTGCAAAAAAAAAAAAAATAGGAATATACCTAACCAAGGAGGTGAAAGACCTCTACAAGGAAAACTATAAAACACCGCTGAAAGAAAACACAGTTGACACAAACAAATGGAAACACATTGCATGCTCATAGATGGGTAGAATCAATATTATGAAAATGATCATACTGACAAAAGCAATCTACAAATTGAATGCAATTCCCACCAAAATACCACAATTATTCTTCACAGAACAAGAAAAAAAATCCTAAATGTCATATGGAACCAAAAAAGAGTCTGCATAGCCAAAGCAAGACTAAGCAAAAAGAACAAATCTAGATGCATCACATTACTTGACTTCAAACTATATTAAAAGGCCATTGTCACCAAAACAGCATGGTACTGGTGTAAAAACAGCACAAAGAATAGTAGAACAGAATAGAGGACCCAGAAATAAACCCAAATATTTACAACTGAACTTTTTGACAAAGCAAGTAAAAACAGAAAATGGTTGAAGGACACCCTATTCAACAAATGGTGCTGGGATAATTGGCTAGCCACATGCAGAAGAATGAAACTGAATCCTCATCTTTCACCTTATACAAAAATCAACTAAAGATGGATCAAATACTTAAATCTAAGACCTGAAATCATAAAAATTCTAGAAGATAACATTGGAAAAACCCTTCTAGACATTGGCTTAGGTAAAGACTTCACGACCAAGAATCAAAAAGAAAATGCAACAAAAACAAAGATAAATAAATGGGGCTTGATTAAACTAAAGGGCTTCTGCACAGCAAAATAAATAGCAGAGTAAACAGATAACCCATAGACTGGGAGATAACTTTTGCAATCTATACATCTGACAAAGGACTAATATCCAGAATCTACAAGAAAATCAGACAAATCAGCCAGAAAAAAACAAACAATCCCATCAAAAATTGGGCTAAGGACATGAATAAACAATTCTCAGTAAACAATTCTCAAATGTCCAACAAATATGAAAGAATGTTCAACATCACTAATGATTAGGGAAATGCAAATCAAAACCACAATGTGATACCACCTCATTCCTGCAAAAATGGCCATAATTTATGTTTGCATGGATGTGGTAAAAAGAGAACACTTCTCCACACTTCAGCACTGCTGGTGAGAATGTAAACTAGTACAAGTACCATGGAAAACAGCGTGGAGATTCCTTCAAGAACTAAAAGCAGAGCTACCATTTGATCCAGCAATCCCATTAGTGGGTATCCAACCAGAGGAAAAGCAGTCATTATATGGAAAAGATACTTGTACACACGTTTATAACAGTACAATTCACAAGTCCAAAAATATGGAATCAGCTCAAATGCCCACCAATCAATGAGTAGATAAAGAAATTGTGGTATATATACCATGGAATACCACTCAGACATAAAACGGAATGAAATAATGGCATTTGCAGCAACCTGGATGGCCCTGGAGACCATTATTCTAAGTGAAGTAACTCATAAATAGAAAACCAAACATGGTATGTTCTCACTCATAATTGGGAGCTAAGCTATGAGGATGCAAAGATACAAGAATGATACAATGAACTTGTATCTTGGGGACTCTGGGGAAAGGGTGGGAGGTGGGCGAGAGATAAAAGCCTATACACTGGGTACAGTGTACACCACTAGGGTGAATCCACCAAAATCTCAGAAATCATCTAAAGAACTTATTCATGCAACCAAACACCTGCTGTTCTCAAAAACCTACTGAAATTTTAAAATGATGACATATATTAAAAACAAAGAAGACTCTGAAGGACTCCAGGAGGTGGTTAGACTCTAGTTGACCCAGGAGATGCAACTGAATTTGAGGTGGGGGCAGGAGGAAAGAGAGGATCCTCCCTTTCCCTTTCCTCCTACTGCCCTTTAAAAAAAAAAAAAAAAAAAAAAAAAACACCACACAACTTGTATTTTAGGCTCAGGGGTATACATACAAGTTTGTTTTATAACTAAACTCGTGTCATGAAATGACAGATTATTTTATCACTCTGGTATTAATATTAAGCCTTAGTGTCCATTAGTTATTATGTTAAGGATAATTAGTTATTAGTTAAGGATAATGACCTCCAACTCTATTCATGTTTCTACAAAGGACATGAGTTCATTCTTTTTCATGGCTGCCTAGTATTCTATGGTGTGTATGTACTACATTTTCTTTATCCAGTCCACCATCAAAGGGCATTTAGGATGATTCCATGTCTTTGGTATTGTGAATGGTGCTGCAATGAGAACTACTGTCCCTTCTTGGTTAAGGGTTTTTTTTTTTTTTCTTCAACCTGCTTATGAAGAGAGTACATCGAGCAAATTACTAACAAAACTCCATCTTTTATGTCCTGTCCTTAAAAAAAATTCATTTTTAAACATACTGAAACATCTTCAAAGAAAACAAGAAAGCCCGACCCGCAACATAAGCTCTCATGTTTCTTGCACTTCTTAAGTTATGGCCTGTATCACTGGGTGAGGACAAAACTGTGGATTAAAACCACTGGCTGAGACGCAGGTGCTGAGACGCAGGTGCCGCACTCACCTTCTGCCCTGGGAAGATCCACCTGAACTCCACCTCCACGTCGGGCTCCCCCAAGACAGTGCAGAGCACACTGACGTCGTCCCCACTTCTCACTTTGTTTGAAGAGGCCAAGATGGTTGTTGAGGGAGGGCCGCTGGGAACTGGAAGCAAGCAGGAGACAGGGAGAGTGAGATGAGACCCTGATGTAACGAGAACAAACCTACAGACGTGCTCTTTTCTGTGGAGAGAGATGGACTGTTGTGCCTTCCTCACAGCCTCCTGACCAGCGCCAGGGCGGTGCGAGCCCACCACTTGTGGCTTCCTCTGAAGCCGCCTTTACCTGTTGACCTCAGTGGTCTGGGAGGGGGCAGGCACCAGGACTCCCGGGGACAGCCTCCAAGCCTGTGATTAGGTGAGGAGGCTCAGAGGGCCATCCAGGGTCGTGAGGGGAAATAAGTCCCTAGGGAAAAAGCAAGCAGGAAGTACTGGGTGGTAGCAGCCATAGGGGTGGTGGGCGGCAGACAGGTGTCCGGCTGTCCATCCGCAGAAGGGGACAAAGTCTAAATACACAGATGACAAAGATGTCTGCGTACAGGGCACGAGTGCTACCTAGCTTTGCAGTGCCTTTGCTTCACCACGTTTCAGAAACAAATGTCTTCATTATGCTGAGTTCACTCAATGAGCTGGCTCTCTATTTATTTACGTAGCAATGGGGTCTCTGTCCTCCAGGCTGGAATGCAGTGGTATAATCTTAGCTTGCTGCAGCCTCCAACTCCTGCAACTTGGAGGACAGTTCCAGCTAGCCTCCCATCCCAGCCTTCTGAGGAGCTCGAATTACAGGCAAGAGCCACTGCACCTGGGGCAACTTTTCCATTTTTTGGTCTACGTTGCCCATGCTGATCTCCAACTCATGGCCTCAAGCAATCCTCATGCCTTGGCCTCCCACAGTGCTGGGATTACAGGTGTGTGAATGAGCAATTTTGATGGCAGCCTTGAGCAAGGCTGTGCTGGTAGCTGGGCCTAGAGCAGGGAGCGAGATGGACCTGATCTCTGAACCCCTGGAGCCTGTATTCTAGCAGAGAGGCCAGACACCGAGGGAGTCGCTGTATGGTTAATTTAAAATGCTGTGCTAAAAGCTAAGGAGCAAAAGCCCAGAGTGCTCCAAAAGGCCAGAATAGAATAGTCTGAGAGCCAGGAAGGGTTTCCTTGAGGGAGCAATGTTTGAACTAAAATCTCAAGGCTGAGCTTCAAAGACATGCTCAGGAGAAGCATGGAGGCACCAGCAGGCTGGGAATGCCCATCTGCATGGCTCCAGGTGAGAGGCAGTGGCACGGTGCAGGAGGGCTGAGGAGGGGAGGTCAGGACTGAGAAGGGGAGGGGAGGGCTGCAGGGGAGGGCTGGAGTGGGGAGGGGAGGGCAGCAGGGGAGGGATGGGGAGGGGAGGGGAGGGGAGGGGAGGGCTGGGGAAGGGAGGGCAGCAGGGGAGGGCTGGAGTGGGGAGGGGAGGGCAGTGGGGGAGGGCTGGGGAAGGGAGGGCAGGTCAGTGGGGGAGGGCTGGGGAGGGGAGGGCAGTGAGAGAGGGCAGGGCAGTGAGAGGGCTGGGGAGGGGAGGGGAAGGCAGTGGAGGAGGACTGGGGAGGGGAGGAGAAGGCAGTGGGGGAGGGCTGGGGAAGGAAGGTGAGGGGAGGGCAATGGGGGACTGTGGAGGAGGGGAGGGGAGGGCTGGGCAGGGGTGGGGAGGACAGTGAGGGAGGGTGGGGGAGGGGAGGGAGGAGTGAGACCTGGCCGGGGAGGAAGACAGAGGTGAGTCCATGCAAGGACATTCAGGCCACACAGAGGATTTGGACTCTGGTTCTAGGAGAAGTGGGAACCTACTGAATGGTTTAATTAAACCAGCACTTTGGGAGGCCAAGGTGAGAGGATCACCTGAGGTCAGGAGTTCAAGACCAGCCTGGCCAATATGGGGAAAACCTCATCTCTACTAAAAATACAAAAATTAAGGACAGGCGCTGTAATCCCAGCACTTTGGGAGCCGAGGTGGGCAGATCACCTGAGGTCAGGAGTTCAAGACTAGCCTGACCAAGAAAACCCCATCTCTACTAAAAATACAAAATTAGCCGGGCATGGTGGCGCATTCCTGTAATCCCAGCTACTCAGTTCGCTGAGGCAGGAGAATCACCTGAACCCAGGAGGTGGATGTTGCAGTGAGCAAAAATCACACCACTGAACTCTAGCTTGGATGACAGAACAAGACTCTGTCTTTAAAAAAGAAAGAAAAAACAGCTACAGTGTGGCCAACAGAGTGGAGAAAAGAAGTTGGACATCAGGGAGACAGGTGATAAAGTATTTGCATTAGTCCATGGCAGAGACGATGCTAGCTTGATCCGTTTTTTGCCCTGAGGGTGGAGAGGAACAGTAGCATTTGAAAGTGATTTAATGAAAACAGTAGAAAGGACCAGGAGGAGAAAGGAGGCAGCTTGACTTCCAGCCGCTGGCCTCTCTCCTGGGTGAAGGCAGTGCTATCACCAAGGCAGAGGAGGAGGAAGAACCAGATCGAGGGAGGATGGCACTGAGCCCAGGGATGGCACAAGGAGGGTTGGGGCCCTGAAGCACCTCAGTGCACACCAAGGTGGACAGCGGATATGTGGACCTGGCACTCCCAGATCTGGCCACTTCCACTCACTTGGGAGTTACCAGTGTACAGATGTGAAGCAGGCCCAGGGAGAGAATGGGGCATGGGAAAGAAGCGTACCTGGGTGAGGAGGGGGCACCAACATTTAAAAGCTGAGAGAAGGCTAAGGGCTGACCAAGCAGAGATTGTTTGTTTGTTTGTTTGTTTGTTTGTTTGTTTGTTTGAGATAGAGTCTTACTGTCACCCAGGCTGGAGTGCAGTGGCATGATCTCAGTTCACCACAACCTCCACCCCCCGGGTTCAAGCAATTGTCTGCCTCAGCCTCCCGAGTAGCTAGGATTACAGGTGCCAGCCACCATGCCCACCTAATTTCTTTTTTGTATTTCTAGTAGAAACAGGGTTTCACCATGTTGGCCAGGCTGGTCTTAAACTCCTGACCTCATGATCCACCTGCCTTGGCCTCCCAAGGGACTGAAAATTTTAAACAAATGGTCTTAGAAACCAGAATGAGGCTATCTTACTCACCCAGCAAGCCTGTTGGATGTGAAAGTGAAACTCAACAGGACTAACAGACGTCCCTACCCTCAGGAAAGGGGGTTTCAACACGGTGGAATGGACGGAAGTTACCAGGGAAAAAAGTATTTAACATATGAACACCCTGAATTGAAATGCCTTACCAAAACGGCCACATTTAAAAAAAGAAGTTCCATTTTTAATTGGGAGCTTGATCATGTTCCAGCTCTGTCAAGAGGAAAAGAATGGAAGAGAATGAGGTGGGAATTTAAAAACTCCAAGTGATAGCAGAAGAAAGAGGGAACAAAACACAAAAGGCACCAGGCAGGCAGAGTGGATGAGAGATGGGGTATTCGTGGGAATGCCCTCTACCCACCCAAGGGGAGTGTCCCAACAGCTCGTAAATCTCTGGGTACAGGCATGGGGAGGTTAGCTGTGTTCATCCAGGATGGTTCTTTCCTGGACAAGAGATTATAGAGAAGAGGGTGTGCAGGGCATGGGTGGCAGGTCCTGATGTGGTGGGACCCAGGTGGGTGGGGAGGGCAGAAAGCCCCGGGGAACAGTGTGGGGCAGGGGGTGCAGGTGAGGATCGTGGTGGAGCGAGTCATCGAACACATCGTCCTGAGAAAGAGAAGCCTGTGACTGAGCAGGGGTTGGCCCCGGTGATTGCTGTCACGGTGGTTGTGGTTGATATGTTCACATTGCAATGAGGGTGGCAAGATCTGAGATGAAGCGGATGAGGGGTCCATGAACCTGGCCAGTGGGTTCCAACCCAGTATCAAAGTCACCTAAAAATGGAGTGACGAGCAGGGCCAGGAACCAGATGCCAAAATGTTTGATGAACGCATGGCAGTGACAGGAAAAGAAATGAGAACACTGGTGGAGCCCACAAAGAGCAGAGGTTTCCAACAAAAGGGCAGAGAATGAGGGCTGGGAGGTGGGAGTGAGTACAAGAAGGATGCCAGCCTCGAGGTGGCAGTAAACGGCATCCTTTGGAGACAGCAGACTCGGGTTAAGGCCAAGAACCGGGAGGAGGCTCTAAAGGAGTCTGGGGACATAGAAGACTTGCTGATCAAACACAGAGGCAGCACCAGAGTGAATGACGGAAGGATTTGGCTGGAATGGAGAAGAGGGGTTTTCGGTCAGAGTCATAGAAGGAAGGAGAACATCATAGAAGTGGTGGTGCCAAAGGGAAGCCTTCGAGAACAGCGTAAGTGGGCCGAGCATGGTGGCTCACGCCTGTAATCTCAGCACTCTGGGAAGCTGAGACCAAAGGATCGTTTGAGCCCTGGAGATCAAGACCAGCCCAGGCAATGTAGGAAAACAAACAAAAAAAAGTTAGCAGGGCATGGTGGTGCATGCCTGTAGTTCCAGCTACTCAGGAAGCTGAGGTGGGAGGATCACTTCAGCCCAGGGCTTTAAGGCTGCAGTGAGAAAATGGTTGTGTCACTGCATTCCAGCCTGGGCAACATAGCAGGACCCTGTCTCAGAACAAAACAAACAGACCCCAACAACAATGAAGCAAACAAAAGGCACTTATGGTATTTCCTTATCCCATCTGCAGACAGAGAACAGCAGTACCTGAAAGTGACAGGAAAGTGACTAGAATCTAGGCAGGGGTGGCCAGGCTTACCCGCCACGTAGAGCAGCTGGTACTTGATGGAGATCTGAGATCTGCCCCCGGCCTCGGCCCTGCAGTAAACCACGCCCTGGTGCTCAGAATGAGGTTGCAGATACACAAAGCCCCGCTTCATGTCGTAAACAATGTCTGTTCCATTGGCTGGGATCTCCTTGGCTGGGAATTCCCTGTGGAGCGTGACTTTGGCGGACAGCACAGTCACCCGACAAGGAACCACAGCCTGTCTGTCCGGGTTCAAGTAGACAACATCGAAGTAGCTGGAAGAAGGCACAAAGAGTTCTCCTTTCTCTGTAAAGGGAAGACACAGGCTTATTCACTACGGAGAAGCAAAGTAAAAGCACCCCTAAGGATTCTGAATACTCAGAATACTGACTCCTTAAGAGTAGAAAAGGCTGGGTTTTCATTTTCTTTTTTTATGCTTTTCATTTTTTTTTTTTTTTTTTTTTTTTGAGATGGAGTTTCACTCATTACCCAGGCTGGAGTGCAATGGCGCGATCTCGGCTCACTGCAACCTCCGCCTCCTGGGTTCAGGCAATTCTCCTGCCTCAGCCTCCTGAGTAGCCGGGATTACAGGCACGCGCCACCATGCCCAGCTGATTTTTTGTATTTTTAGTAGAGACGGGGTTTCACCATGTTGACCAGGATGGTCTCGAACTCTTGACCTCGTGATCCACCCGCCTCAGCCTCCCAAAGTGCTGGGATTACAGGCTTGAGCCACCGCGCCCGGCCTTTCATTTTTTGAAAGAATGATTTTACTTCCTGTCTCCTTAAAGAAAATAGAAAAGGTATCAGTTCAAGCCCAAATGAGGCCCATGGATCATCACCCTGAGGAAGAAAGGAACAAAACTGATTCCCTTAAAGTTTAACAGGCCCAGCCTTACTTCTTAATATGAAATCAGTGACCACACTAGTTGCTTTAAAAATATATTTGCAATCTGACCGGGTGTGGTGGCACATGCCTGTAATCATAGTGCTGTGGGAGGCTGATGCAGATGGATAGCCTGAGCTCAGGAGTTCGAGACCAGCCTGGGCAACACGGTGAAAACCCATCTTTACTAAAAATACAAACAAAATTAGCCAAATGTGGTAACACGCACCTGTAGTCCCAGCTACACGGGAGGCTTAGGCATGAGAACTGCTTGAACCCAGGAGGCAGCAGAGGTTGCGGTGAGCCGAGATCGTGCTACTGCACTCCAGCCTGGGCAACAGAGCAAGACTGTCTCAAAAATAAAAATTGCAATCAGTAGCCTCCATCAACAACAACAAAAAATGTGTTGAAGTTCATTTTAATAATTATAGATTACATATGACCCCTGCAAATGTATTTATATCCACTCATGTAAATGACAAACATATTAAATTAAACTAAACACACTGGATTTTAGATTTCAAAAAAAAAATCAAGTTAATAAGCTATACACGACATCCAAATTACAACTAACTCAGTATTTAGGAAAGCACTTATTAATGTGATTTTACAATTTTAAGTTTTAAAACCTGAGCAGTTATAAAACCTTGAAGCTATCTGCTGCCTCTGTGTGGAGAAATCAGCCGCACAGCCACGGTCGGTAACTGCCAGTCAGGAAGCATTTCCCAGCATATCAGAGCTCCCACAGGAGCCCCAACACAGGGACAGTGTCCTCAGCATGTCCTCACACAGCCCAGAGGACCCGGCGCCTGTCAAGGTCAGTGGAGGGGAATGGAGTCGGCTTGAAGGAGGAACCCATCAGTCTCAGGTCTGCTCTTGGCTTGGCCAGCACCTGGCTGGGAATCTTCAGCCAGTCTTATACATGTCCCTATTTCCTCTGAAATTGCTTGGCCTGGTTCTTTAAGCTCAGATGATGGCATTTGTATCTTACCAAAATGGGACAAATGAGGACTGGCTTACCCATTCTGTCCTTAGGACAGGCAAGAAACTCTGGATTGGGCTTTTGGGGGTATTTCTGTTGGTGCTGGTGGCTTTTCTTTTTTGGCATGGTTCATTAAATCCTTTGTTTTTCTGGATCATTCTGTGAGGGAATGTTACAGTAATTGCAAAGAGAAATCTTCAGAGCTAGTCAGACCCCAACACTTAATACATGGTTTCTTGTGTTTTCTGCACAATGTTCCTGAAATAAATATTTTTTTCTGGGCTTTCTCCCTCACTCACCTTCTTTTTTTTTGTTGTTTTTGAGACGGAGTTTCGCTCTTGTTACCCAGGCTGGAGTGCAATGGCGCGGTCTCGGCTCACCGCAACCTCCACCTCCTGGGTTCAGGCAATTCTCCTGCCTCAGCCTCCTGAGTAGCTGGGATTACAGGCATGTGCCACCATGCCCAGCTAATTTTTTCTATTTTTAGTAGAGACGGGGTTTCACCATGTTGACCAGGATGGTCTTGATCTCTCGACCTCATGATCCACCCGCCTCGGCCTCCCAAAGTGCTGGGATTACAGGCTTGAGCCACCGCGCCCGGCCCCCTCACTCACCTTCTTTGTGTCACAGTTAGATGGTGTTTTAGGTTGGGGGCAGAATTACTGGACACATCATCAAATGTTTCATGAGCCAAGAGTTCTTGGGCTTTAAGTACCAAGTTCACTAACATGTAGAGCCTCCCCGCTGGCTCTAAGATGAGAGAAGAGTACCTCATGGCTCAGAGAGTCTCCATGTTTTATACTGGTTTCTGTCAGGCTGGGAGGTCTGTGCTACTTTATGAGAAATTGGCTTGCAGGCTTAGGTAAGGAGCACCTCCATCAATGTTGTGCCCAACATTCATGTATTCATACAGAGTCCATCTACATGGCTTTGGAGGCATTATTTAATTTCCTCAGGCTTCAACGTCCTTATGTGTAAAGAGAAGAATCTGGAATTGATAATATTAAAGATGTTTTCTTAGCAGCAATACCTTAGGATTTTATGACCGCAAGATTTAGAGGCAACTTTTAAGGGTGTGGAGAATAATCTGAACCACTAAGAAAAGCTGTTAGTTGAATAAGTGAACCATGTGAATTTAAGAACACAAAAATATCATCTTCTTTCCTTTACTCTTTTTTTTGAGATAGGGTCTCACTCTGTCACCCCGGCTGGAGTGCAGTGGCCTGTTCATCATGTATTGCAGTTTCAACCTCCAGAGCCAAAGTGATCCACCCACCTCAGCCTCCTGAGTAGCTGGGACTACAGGCATGTGCCATCATGCCGGTCTAATTTTTTATTTTTTAGTTTTTGTAGAGTTGGGGTCTCACTGTGTTGCCCAGGCTGGTTTCAAATACCTAGACTCAAGCAATCTTCCTGCCTTTGCCTCCCAAAGTACTGGGATTATAGGCATGAGCCAGTGTGCCCAGCCTTGCTTCTTATACTATAAAACATACTTGGAAATAAGTAATCACACCAGTTGCTTTAAAAATCTATTTGCAATCTGTTGCTTCCATCAAGAAAAAGTGTTCAAGTTTATTTTAATAATTATAAATTACTTATGTCCTCTGCAAACGATATTTATGTCCACTGATCTAGATGACAAATAGATTGCTTAAAGAAAACTAAGCACATGGGATTTCAGATTTTAAAAAATCAAGTTAACAGGCTATACACTAAATCCAAATTACAGCAAATTCAATATTTAGAAAAGAACTTTTGTTTTTTGAGACAGTCTCACTCCATTACGCAGGTTGGAGTGCCATAGTGCAACCTCAGCTCACTGCAACCTCGGCTCAGTGTAAGTGGGTGTAAGTGATTCTTGTGCCTCAGCCTCCCGAGTAGCTGGAATTACAGGTGCATGCCACCATGCCCAGCTAATTTTTGTATTTTTAGTAGAGATAGGGTTTCGCCATGTTGGTCAGCCTGATCTCGAACTCCTGACCTCAAGTGGTCCGCCTGCCTCGGCTTCCCAAAGTGCTGGGGGATTACAAGCATGAGCCACTGCAGAAAAGTACTTATTAATGCGGTTTCCTACATACAAAAATTAGAGCCCCAGCCTTTTACTACAAGAAAGCTATAGGCCGGGCACAGTGGCTCATGCCTGTAGTCCCAATACTTTGGGAGGCCGAGGTGGGCAGATCACAAGGTCAAGAGTTCGAGACCGGCCTGGCCAATGTGGTAAAACCCCATCTCTACTAGAAATACAAAAATTGGCCAGGTGTGGAGTCATTTGCCTGTAATCCCAGCTACTTGGGAGGCTGAGGCAGGAGAATTGTTTGACCCTGGGAGGCAGGGGCTGCAGTGAGCCGAGATTGTGCCATTGCACTCTAGCCTGGCAGCAACCAGGGGACTAATCTCAGCTCACTGCCACTGCCATCTCCCAGATTCAGGTGATTCTCCTGCCTCTGCCTCCTGAGTAGCTGACACCACAGGTGCATACTACCATGCCCGCCTAATTTTTGTATTTTTGTAGAGATGGGATTTCTCCATGTTGGCCAGGCTGGTCTTGAACTCCTGACCTCAAGTGATCCACCCGCCTCAGCCTCCCAAAGTGCTGGGATTACAGGTGTGAGCCCCCGTGCCCTGCCTAGGGTGAGATTACAGGTGTGAGCCACTGCACCCAGCCGAGAGCCCATAATATTAACAGGACATTCTGCCCAAGCTAAGCCTTCAGTTCAAAACCTCAACGAATATTTTGGGAAGATACAACAGTGCTAATCTTGGCAAAGAATCTTTATTCTGCAACTTAAATTGTGGAATCAGTCCTTGTCTGGAATAACAGACTGTTATTCATCTTAGTTGGTTGCCTTTTCCACTGTTGCTTCACAGCATGTTATAACACAAGGGGCACATGGACCATCTTGTGTAGCAAGTTCCAAAATGAAGATCCAAAGAGATTGCTTATGAACAATTATTAGCAATTCTCCTGACAACACCAGTTACATTATGTAGAATCTGGCTATCAGTCCATCCTTCACCTTGTCCTAGAAAAGGTTCAAGGCAGTAAGAACACTTGATCCTGGGTCAGAAAAACAGGTATGACTCCTTACTATGCCACTACAAGTCCTGAAACACTGAGTCTCAGCATGAGCATTAATATTTCTAGTATTTTGGATATAATAAAGTAGCTTTTGCCAATTTTCCAGGGTTGTTGTGGAAATGAAACTGATAGAGGCAGGAGGCAGAGAACTCTCCTAAACAGATAGGGAAGGGTACTTAGAGAAACTCCGACCCACAAAGGTCATGCAGAGGCCTAAGCATGCACCAGTAAAGAACTCCATCCCTTAACACATGCGCAGTAAGGGAAATAGATCAACGCAGAGTGACTCAGATTAAGGACCTGCATGCAGTCGCTGAATGGAGAGGGTGGAGCTGCCAGGACTTCATGCCTTCTACAAACAGGGAATCCAGACCTTTCAGGAGAACGTAGAAGCCCTTGTATTCAACTGTGTAGAGGGCAGCCTTTTTGAGAGCTTTCCTTTTTGTTTAATCAATTCTATGCCACGTCTGTATGCCTAAGTTTTCCTGGTCATGAGACAAGAACTGGGATCCAGCTGGACTAAGGAGCAAAAAATCTGCATCAAAATTAGAAACATGTGCTTTCAGAATTGCAGCATATCCTACTAATGCATCTCCTTGCCAGGAAAAGCACATTTGGCCAGGAAAGCACAAATCCATGAGATTGTACTAAAGCATTCTTTAATGGTAAGGGCATAACATCATTTGGGTCATACGTCTATGTCTATGTCTAGGTCTATTTAGGTCTAGATCTGAAAGGTAGATGGATTCAGGGCATAGAGAAATCTTATGAAAGCCCCTGCCCAGGCACTAAGAAAAGATTCTGGATTCAGCTGAAATGTCTTGGACAACAAGAAGACGGGTGGATTTTTAAGACTCCTCAAAGCTGTTACTGACCTCTAACCTTGAAGAACTTCATCCCCTAAACTTCAGAACTTAGAGAATGTTACTGAAAAAAGAGTCTGAGCAGTTATTCTGCAACACCTGTTTCTCAAAATGCAAGCTCCACCTTCCAAAAACATACTTTGCACTGCAGAGACGAGTTCTCCACTCTGACCTGAACGTTTTTAGGCAGTCCACTTAGGCTCAGGGACTGGAGACAAAAGAGCCACAATCTTTGGGAATCTTGTCCCCGAAATCTCAGCTCATAGTAATTCATAAGAACAAATGGGGCTGAGCACGGTGGCTCACACCTGTAACTTCAGCACTATGGGAGATCAAAGCGGGAGGACTGAGCTCGAGTTTGAGACCAGCCTGGGCAACATAGTGAGACCTTGTTTTTACTGGAAAATGAAAAATAAAATAATAAAAAGGACAAATGGGAAGAGGTCTTTAGCGAAGTATCCTACAATTATGGAGTTTCCAGAAAGGAGATGGTCATAGGTTCTGAGAACACAGTGAAAGTCAACAGCAGCACCGTCCAATAGAACTTTCTGAGATAAAGGAAACGTTCTCTCTCTGTGCTCTCTAGTACAATAGCCGTTAGCCATATGCCACAATCGAGCACTTGAAATGTGGCAAGTGCACTGAAGAACTCTTTTTAATTTTATTTCATTTTAATTAATTTTCAATTAAATTTAAGTAGCTACTTGTGTCTAGTGGTTACCATACTGGGGAGCGAAGGGACGGACCCTGTTTGCGTTGGAATGGTTTGTGTTGAAATCCTGTTACCACCACTTATTTGCTGTGTGATGTTAAGGACTTAATCACTCTAAACCTCAACTTTCCCATCTGAAAAAAAAAAACAGGACTGATATTAGTATTTGCCCTGAAGGGTTATGGCAAGACTTACATGAAATAACTGATGGAAAGCATTTAGCCCAGAGCCTGCCAAACAGGGAGTGCTCTGATTGTCATTATTTGCTATTCGGCATGCAGTGGGGGAGCCTTCAGTTCTCAGCCAAGTCCAGAAGTTTGAAGAGTTCCATTCATGCAGCAAATATTTTACCTGTAAAAAAGATGTAGGTGGAGCCTGTTTTGGCCTCGTCCTTCCTGCAGATGTAGCCACTGCAGAGCTGCCCCCAGCAGCTGAATTCACCTGTGTCAGCCGAGGTGGAGTTGACCAGCGTCAACTGGCTGTAGCGCTCATTCTGCTTGACACTAGGAATAAAAGAGACATGAACTCAAAGCAGGTCAGACCTGGGCTGGGGCCCTCCAGCTGTCACGCTTGGCCCCATTGTTCTCTGGGCAGACTTGCCCCAACCTCTCTCCAATGTCACAAAGTAAAATAAGAATGTGTTTCGCTGGGCACAGTGGCTCATGCCTAAAAACCCCAGTGCTTTGAGAAACCAAGACAGGAGAATAACTTGAGGCCAGGAGCTCGAGACCAACCTGGACAACACAGCAAGACCCAATTTTAACAAAAATTAAACAATTAGCCTGGCATGATGGCTCACTCCTGTAGTCCTAGCCACTTGGTAGGCTGAGGCAGGAAGACTGCTTGAGTCCAGGAGTTTGAGATTCCAGTGAGTCATGATCATGTCAATGCACTCCAGCCAGGGTGACAAGACCCCGTCTCCAAAAAATAAAAATAAAGAGTGCATTTCTGATAAATGAGTGTCAGGGGAGGCACAGAGAAAAGCCTTTCCTCAAAGGAAATGATAAATGTCAAAAAGAATTCCTCTTCTTGGAGAACATAATTGTCATCAGACCTGAGGTTTCCTTAAGTAAAATCTTTGGTGCAATAGCTACGCAGCCTCAGAAGCTCAGCCAGAAAGCCTTGGGCTGGTGCTTGGCTTTCAGCCTGCGTCTCATGAATTCATTTATACACAGTCAACATGAATGAAAGCACACAGCATTATCCAATATCCAAAATCCCTTTCATCAATAAAGATAAGTCTCTGAATTAAAGCTTGGAATCTTAGATATGCTGCATTATCATGTTAAAACCAAACACTTTCTTTTAAGAAAAAAATACATTGGCTGGTAAGACCCTGAAGCCCAAAGTATGCATGCAGCCCACTTCTAATAAAGTATTTAAAGCCTTTGCGCATTTGGACTTTTCCTCTGACCTCACTATTATTTCTACTTTTATTTTCTTCCTTATCGCTTGTATTTTGTATCTTGTTGCATGGCAAATATATTTGCAAACCCCTTCAGTTTCTTTCTGAAGAGAGGCATACATATTTATTATTAAACACTAGCATTAGCCAATTTCAATGGTAATTAATTCTATTATATTGTGGCAGAAATCCAGATGTATCAGATGTATCATTCTCACTCACACTGGAGGTTCCCCTGAGGCTCAGAGCCTCAGCACCGGGGGGTATACCAAAATAAGTAGTTTTACTCTGGGGACTCATCTCAGCTATCCAAACACTTCACTCTTCTGAGATCCACATAGTTTTATGATGCAGTTGAGGTTTCCCAGTTTATCTTGCAGCAATATCAACACGGTGACCAGTTTACATTTAGCATAGGGCAAAATGTCAGGTCAGCTGGTCCCGAAGGCAGCCCTGCTCTGGTTCACTGCGGAAAAGCTTGTTTTGCCCACCAGCTCTGCCAAGTGTGCTTCTGTACTCCCACTCCATCAACTGCCCCCTTTACCCTGAACGGAAAGCTCTCCTCCTTCAGTAAGCTTCTAATTAGAATTGACTCTCAGGACTCTCCCCACTTTTTCCTGACATAACTGACTTCCTCGTTCTCTACCCCTCCGATACCCCTGGCTTCCTGTCATTACACTAGATGGTGCAAGCTTTGAGGCAGGGACTGAGCTGTATTTGTTTTATATTCTCTAAGCAACAAATCTGTGCAGAGTACACAGTAAGGGCTCCCTAAATATGAATGAATCAAATTGAACCAGTGATGGAAAGAAACTGGAGAGGCAGGCTTCCAGCTCTCTATTTTGCAGAGGGGGAAACTGAGCCTCAGATAGCTGAAGTGGTTTCCCTGAAACCCACAGCTTATGAACCAATTGTGAGGATGTCTTCCTTAAGTCAGTTAAGTATGTTCTGAATACCACTCATCAGGTAAGAAAAGGTATACAAAGCCCTTGGAGCAATGCCTGGTCCACTGAATTATCCCAATTATATCTTAATTACAGATAAGTAATAGTAATCATGAATATTACTATAGCAATGATAAACAGAACACATGCAGCATTGGGGATGGTTAGCACAGCAAATGAAAAATGGTGGACCCAGGCCAGGGGTGGTGGCTCATGTCTGTAATCTCAACACTTTGGGAGGCTGAGGCAGGAGTATGGCTTAGAGCTTAGGAGTTCACAACCAGCCTGGGCAATACAGCAAACCTACAAAAAATTAAACATTAGCCAGGCATGGTAGTATGCAAGTGGTCCTAGCTACTCAGGCGGCTGATGTGGGAGGATCTCTTGAGCCCAGAGGTTCAGGCTGCAAGGAGCTATGATCCCACCACTGTACTTCCAGCCTGTCTCAAAAAAAAAAAAAAAAAAAAATTGAAAAGATCAATGCTAGTTTAAGGATGAAGCTAGATTTCAGCAGATTAAAAAAAAAAATTAGAAAAGGGAAGGGAAGATGGAGGCGGTATTCTCCCCACGTGGACAAGAGTGTCTGGCCACCTCCTGTGGAGCTCAGAACCAGGGTGCAAAATCAGCAGGCAATCAATATATTCATTGCACATCTTCTCTGACCCCAGCATTTGCTAGCATTGTAGTGATCAAAAGCATTAGATGCCGTTACTACCGGGAAAGTAATTAGGCACGTAAAAAATCAACCCTTGGGAATAACCCTAGCACCAGTGTGCAACCTGCATGCTGTATCTTTAGTAGGTTTGTGGGTGGAAGGAAGGAAATGCACTAGAAAACAATTTTGCATGTTTCCACCCCCTCTTCTATGCAAACAATATAAAACAGGAAACGAATTATTTAGAGGGATTAGTGTTTAAATGCCTGGATTTAAAATGTCCATTTCTACCAATGGTATCTCATCATCTAGGCAGCGGGTTACACAAGGGGTTGGAAGTGACCAAAGGCCTCTGGAGGCTGAGACTGTGTCGTAAAATGGAGACGAGGATTCCCTGAGCCCTTCAGAACCACTGTCTATACAGAGACGCTTCATCAAAGACCCTTTCTGTGTAACCACTGAACACCACCCCCAGGGATGGAAGAGGTGGAGAATGGAGAGTTTAAGTGGAGCTAAAAGAAGGTGTCATGACCAACTGCCAGGAAAAAGTGTCCTAAGAGAAGTAAAATTCACACCAACAGGAGGCAGCTCTGAACATACCAACACATCAGCTCACCTCTGGCCTTTTCTTTCTTTCTTTCTTTCTTTTTTTTTTTGAGACGGAGTTTCACTCTTGTTACCCAGGCTGGAGTGCAATGGCGCAATCTCGGCTCACCGCAACCTCCGCCTCCTGGGTTCAGGCAATTCTCCTGCCTCAGCCTCCTGAGTAGCTGGGATTACAGGCACGCGCCACCACGCCCAGCTAATTTTTTGTATTTTTAGTAGAGACGGGGTTTCACCAAGCTGACCAGGATGGTCTTGATCTCTTGACCTCGTGATCCACCCGCCTCGGCCTCCCAACGTGCTGGGATTACAGGCTTGAGCCACCGCGCCCGGCCCTTCTTTCTAAACTAGGAGTTCTACCCTGACCCACAGAGATCTCAGTGAGGGCCAAGTCCATATTTCCAAGTGAATGTGTTCAAATTTTAAGACTCTGTGTATGTGTGTGTATGTCTTCCAACATGCTTCCCCGGCCTTTACACACAGAGTCTTGCGTCCATCAGCGGAAGCTTGAAGCTTCCTGCGTTCAGCCCAGCCTGCTCTCTGCAGGGGCGGCCTAAGTCGTGAGAGTGTGCAGAGGAGGGAGCTGACAGCCCTCAGATGTAGGGACCTGCGCATCCTACCTGGGGCAGTGGCCAGGTAATAGTAGTGGGGTCCCTTTTCTGTCCGTCCCCACCAAGACTCTGCAAGCCAAGGGCAGGGGGTGAGCCCTGGATTACAAGATAATGATTCATTGGTATTGTACTCACACATGCTTAATGGGTACAAAATAAACAGGAGGTACTGGAGAGGACAGGAGGGATGCAGTGATGTCTAGAGAGGTCCCTGCTCGAGAGTTCTTCTATACAACATGCCATGAGAACTCCAAAGAGAGTAACCAGCAAGAGTCTCTAGGCCGAGAGGGTCTTGGTGGAAAGGAAGGATTTCAACAAGCACAAATCAAGGGCATGCATTCCAAGGGAAGGAGATCTCCAAAGAGAGAAAAAAGGGCAGGTTTGTGCATAACAAAGAGATGTTTGTCTGGACCACAGGTTGGCTGAAGACGGTGGCGAGAGGCATAACATCATGGACTTTAGAACTCTACCGAGCAGATCCAAATCCCAGCTTCACCATGACCTTCAGAGTCCTTAGCTAGGGCTCGTCTTCCACAATCTGGCTTCACCTACTCTTCAGACTTGTAGTAAGAACAATGATGCTAATACTTATGGAGGGCAGGCATGCTGCCAAGCTCTCTCTTTAAACAACTTCGGACTTAGAACAGCAACTGCCACAGAGAAATGCTCAATACATTTTTTTTTTTTTTTTTTTTTTTTTTTTTTTTTTTTTTTTTAGAGACAGGGTCTTGCTTGTTGCCCCGGCTTTGAGTACAGTGGTGAAATCATACCTCACTTCAGCCTCAAACTCCTAGGCTTGAGGGATCCTCCCACTTCGTCCTCCTGAGTAGCTGGGACTACAGGTATGTGCCACCACACCTGGATCATTTTTCAGATTTTTTGTAAAGACAGGGTCTTGCTGTGTTACCCAGGCTAGTTTTGAGTTCCTGGCCTTAAGCAATCTCCCACCACAGCCTCCCGAAGTGCTGGGATTACAGGCATGAGCCACCACACCCAGCCTCAATACATTTTAGAAATTGTCATTACTGTGGTCCCCCGGTTCTCATAACCACATTAGGATGGTGGTACTCTTTTCCCCTTTTACTGATGAGGGCACCGAAACATAGAGAAGCAACTTGTCCAAGTTACTCAGCTAGTAAGTGGGAGAGCATCCAATGTAGTGTGACACAGACTCAGGTTACAAACATTTAGAAGTGAAGAGGGGGCATGGATTTTCATCCTACAGAAACGAAATGAAATGAAGTAAAGCAATTTTGACTGAGCGATGGTGTCTTTAAAGAGCTTG